TTTTTTAAATTTTGGGCGTATACATAGCGTATTCTAAACGAGTTTGACGGATTACATAAGTATTAGTAACTTATATAGAACGTTTCGATAACTTATAGATTAATTTATACCACGAATAGCGCGCGTTGCGGCGTTCAAACTTATTTATGACCAACGATAGTCTTAAAGCTGGACCACTACGCCGATTTTTCATTGCATCTGAGCCGCGGTCAATCTCGGCGCATCAAGTCGGGCGACTCGTGGACACACTACCGACTGAGACTCTGTGGATTTTCAGCACGCTGATTGGCGATAAATTGTTACACGGCGCTCAATCGCAGACCCGACAACTAGCGAGTGCAGCGCCGGCTCAAATAATTATCAAACATGTTTGAATCGGCGGACTCGGCCGGCCGACTCGAAATCGACCGCGACTCACTGGACCACACTTACTCGCGATTTTCTTCATGCGATCGAGCCGGCGGCTTCGGCGGCCGGCTCGATCGCTTATGAATAAATCGCTCTAGTGTGTTCAGCCCCTTAATCTTATTTGCGCAATTAGTTGCGCGGCAGGGTATCGCCGACGATCAGATTTTCGCACCTGCCGTACTACGACGTGGTTCCAGGTGTCCACGTGGGGCCAATTGCTCTCGCTCTCTCTCTCTCTCTCTCTCTCTCTCTCTCTCTTCTCTCTTCTCTCTCTCTCTCTCTCTCTCTCTCTCTTTCTCTCCCTCTCTCTCTCGCTCTCTCACCTTGTCTCACCCTCTATGCCTCTCTTACACGCACGCACTCTCGCGCTTCATACTCCCACATTAGTGTAATGTTTTGTTAGTTTATGTTATTGTAATTGTTTAGCGCAATTAATTTTGTTCCCACATTGGCCATATTGTAATGATGAAAAACTAAGAGTCTTGTGTAAGGCGAAGAAAGAGGCAGTCGCAGGGTAATGTTATTTTGTTGTTGCTCCGCACAGTTACAATCTGTCAGTCGTATTCTCTACTCACTCGCTTTCCTCTTTTCGTCGCTTACATCTCTCATTTTTCCCTCTTATTCCCGCTCATCCTTTTATATCTCGAGCGCGTCTTTTCGGTAGTGACGTGTTCTCCTTCACGAATTGGCCCTCTTGCCTATCTGTCCTGTTGGTTGGTTTCGGACATTGATCGGTCAAGTGATCATGGTCACTCTTGCGTCATTATGGAACGTTTCCAAACCCAACCTCCTCGTTTTCTGCGTGCGTTCCTTTCCCTCCTATCTCTGGAGTTGACTGGCTACGTATGGTAAGCACCTCTTATCGTGAAGGTTCTCTCGGCTAATGACTCCAACGACCATCTAAACCTAATAAGACATATATGTCTTATCAAAGGGGAACAATATCAGTTGCATTCTGGTATCAATTATTCTAAATGCATTAGGCGATCGCTTGGCTTACTCCTAGTGTCCTGGGCAGATGAAGTCCTCTGCCGCGCGGTTGCTATACTGTCCCGCTCGTAATCTTCATATCGCCACTTTCGCTCGCATCCTTTTTGCATCGCCACAATATGACTATTACTGCAGGGGCTTTCTGCTCTGATATAGATACATTACGCACCAAGGCCAAGAGATATTTAGCCGATAGAGAAAGTGTGCGAGGGAGGGGGCGGGGCGGGGAGGTTTATGCCGCTGCCATCCGCCTTGTAGTTTAACGCAAGTGCCCAGAGGAATCACGGAACGACTGTCGGAAAATGGCTGGGCGTCATCGTCGGTGAGTGAAAGCTTCGGCTCCCTAGCCACGCGCACGTACACACGCAGATTGCATCACCGCGCGTCTGCAGGACGGCACGTCACGCGCGCGCATAGTTAGGGTTAGGGTCACAATGCAGTGAATGCACCATAAAACAGGAGTTTGAGGCACGTGATTTGTATCAACCAATGGCAGCGCTCGCTAGAGCCCTATGTTCTTGATTGACCTAGGAAAAGAATACACGCGACCCGGCCCTTACGATGGATGTAGTAACGCTGTAGTAATAACGTATCGAGTCAGCGCTACACAGCGGCGACCGGAAGCAACATACAGTCCACAAAACGAGAGACAGTCGCAGTATTATACTGATCTCGAGTCGGTTTTCGGCGAAAATACCAGATTTTCACCGCTCATTATCTCAGCGTAGAGGCATTGTAGGGACATGCGATTTGTAGGACATCTGATCAATAATACTGCAAACAATCGTCAAAATAAAACGGGGAAAGTTTATTAATTTGACTAATACTGCAACATGGTTTCAGCATTTCACCGTTGTACGCTCTCCTTCTTTATACGCTCTTGATATTATATATAATATATCATTATAGTGTATAGTATCTACGTGCGGTTCTGTGTCTGTGATGCCCATTGCGCCCACCTCCAGACTGTTGCTCATCCGTCGTCTCGTCGTTGTGTGTTTCAGGTCGTTGCTAAGCCGGAGTCATATCCGCCACCATACGCCGAAGACACCGACTCTCTGCCTCCCTATTCCGAGGCCGTTGCCATGACACCGACGTCGCAGGCCGACAATGCCATGCTGACACCAGGGGGCGCTGAACCCTGTGTCCCGGCGGCCGAGGTCCATCACGGTGGGTGTTAGCGTGTTAACGAGAAATTCCTTGTCGATTACCAGGGACCCATTGTTGGAAACCAAATTATTCTTAACATGAGTCTTCGCATTACCTTTTTTCTCATAGACCATTGAGAGAAACATGGTAGAGTTACAAGTTTGTCATACGCAGTGTATGAAGGACCGCACTGAGGTTCGGTCGCGAGAAATCAGATGACTTACAATGATGTTAAGACTAATGGTAATTAAGACTGTTCCTGACAACGGGTCTACGGCTTCTCCATGAGAGTTTGTGTGAATTCTTTTTCTTAGTCTTCTCATTTTAGTGCTTATGCTACTGCTGCTTATGTACGTGTGACTGGTGGTGTTATAAGTATTAACTTACCTAGCACTTCGGTGAGTATTTATTAAGCGTTAGTGTGACTGGTGGTGCTACTTTCACTTCGGTGAGTGTTTAAATGTTGGTGTGACTAAATGGTGCTATAAGTATTAACTTACTTTCATTTCGGTGAGTGTTTAGGTGTTAGTGTGACTAAATGGTGCTATATGTATTAACTTACTTTCACTTCGGTAAGTGTAACTATAAATGGTAGTGTGACTATATGGTGTTATGAGTACTTATTAGCTTTCCTAGCACTTCAGTAAGTATATAGACGGTAGTGTGACTGGTGGTGTTATAAGTTTTAACCTACTTAGTACTTCAGTAAGTATATAGCAGTGGCGGTTCTACGGGGGGGGGAGCATGCTTTACAGG